CCACAAATCATATTTACAAATGTGGGCCATATTTAAACATGTCAAGTGGCATTTATTTTAAGCAGACATTTTTTGGCAAAGTATTCTTTCAAAAGGTGGCTCCTGTGTTTCAGATTGTTATCATTTGAGCAGCTTATCCTTATACACATCTGACTTTATGATTGCATCGATGAACATGAGCACACTGACCCAATTATAAGAAAAACAGCCCCAGACGTTGGTGTTTCCACCTCTGTGCTTTACAAAACAACTAGTGTAGTCTGGTGGAATTCTTCTTCAGGTTTTCTCATCACAAAGAATCTACCATCAGTCTGTTGCTGTTCTTCTAGTGTTTTTCTCTGAAACAAATGTTTTTAGGAAGTAATCTAAAGAACTTCATTAAAGTTTACCAATGGTTGATCTGTTAAAGTGTCCAAATAATAATAAAAGCCAGCAGCTAGAAGCTAATAAAATATCACCACCATGGACAAGAGGAGATTTAGAGACCAATGGTGTGAAAAACATTTTCACTGAATTCAGTGTACCTTATATGTGAGGACACAATTGGAGTATTTAAAGAATACTGTTTCCCCATATATTGGCAATGTGTGAAAATGTAAAGCTAAGTAAGTAACTATGTATCTACCTGTTTCTTCTTTTCAGAAATTGGTCCACCTCAGTCATTTAACTTGGCCCCCCAAGACAAAACGTTTGAGCAACTCTGGTCTATGGAGCTAAGAATATTACAAAAATGTCTTTTCAGGCCCGGCGCCAGAACTTAATCATGAGTGGGGCATCCAAGATCCATGGAAGGGCCTTGACCACAAAAAAATTAAAAAAATACGAGAGAAATGTACAGTAGATCTGTCCAAAGGAGCCACACATTTAGGAAAGAATCAACAGGAGAGCCACATTTACAGCAATTCACCAAATCTTATTATGTTCATCAATGTAGTTATTTACACTGACTGCACAAAGTTTCTTTTCACTTTGTTTTTCAGCTATCTGCTGCTACAGAAGCATGTATAAAAAATAGTGGGTTTAGTTGGGCATGATGATTGGTTGGTTCTTACATGGCTTCTTGAGGTTGGGATGCTTTCAGAGAGATGCATGTTTAAACCTATGTATTTTTTTTGTTAGCATTGTGCTACTACTATTGATACTACTACTACTGCGACTAACAATAATAATAATAATAATAATATTATTATTATTATTATTATTATTATTATAATATTAATTATGAAGACAATGCTGTAGCTACAAACACATCATATAACAGTCCCATCAGGAGACAGTTTAGAAACATTCACTCCAAATGAAATTTTTCAATTGTGTTGAAGAAACATTTCTTTCCAACTTTTAAAGGAAATAAGGACATCTCTAGCTCATTTTCTGTAAGCTGAAGCTCACAGTCATTGCCTGGCCGCCTACAGTGGGCAGGCAGCTGCGTGGCGTTGGTGCAGGCCCGCCTACATGACGCTGTCAGTCTGCAGAGAGCACACTGGTAATCAGCGGAAGTGGGAGGTGAAGAGATGGAGCTGGTGTTTACATGTCTTAGAGCAGCTTTTCTCACTTCAACTATGCTCCCTGCTTTAAAATGCTAAACTGCACGCTAAACTGCATTTGGCATCCGCACACATTATGTACTTTCATTAGCCACTCAGGCTAATTTGCATAATAATCTTTTTTTTTGTTGTTTTTTATAGTTTGGTGTGGGAAGATGAAGAAATATGTTTGTTCCATCAACATCATCATCATCATCATCATCATCATCATAATCATCATAATCATCTTCCTCATGCTCCCCCTGTCTTCTCTCATGGTGCATCTGTTTTACCCATCTCGCATGCCGGCCGGGGCCTTGTTGCCATGGTATCCCCGGAGACAGCTGAGCTCCTTCACATAGCCCTCATGATTAGGACTGTTTTTTTTTCACCTCCTCCAAATAACAGCGTGGGTGATGTTGTGACCCAGCCTGTAGATGTCCTAAGATCTCAAGAACCACTTATGATGATGATGGCCAAAAATCTAATTTGCGCAGTTTTCCCTTACTCCAAATGTAGTTAAGGTAAATATTTGATTGTTTCTGTAGTTTCTCACTGGAGCTATGAAGCTAATAGAGCTAACAGGTAATGGACGTTCATATCCACCAAGTTAGCACTGTGCAAATCACAAACTTTCCTTCAATCACATAGTGTTGTAAAGGGCCCAGATCCTAAATGTTTCTGTATTGTATTTCTCATCCCGAAGTTGACTTATACAGCTGTATGCAAAATACCCAAATTACACGTTCTTTTGAAAATAAGTGAACTCATCCTCTTCCTTAAAACTTAAATGTATCAATTTTCTGCAAATTTTAATGCACAACTTTTTGTACATATTGGAAAAAATAAAACATAGAATATTAAATGTGCCATAGCTTTTGCACAGGCCAATTTTATATATTTTTTTATATTTGTCCCCAGTATGTTGACCAAATAAACAGTAATTGTTTATTATAATGTGAAGTTTGGTCTCTGTAGAGGATGCGTTCACTTATTTTCACTTAGAAAATCAACCAAACCATCATTTTTCCGGGGACGAACACTCTTAACATTTGTAAGGTCATGTACCAAAAACAGTAATTATTTCATTTTACAAGACCAATTTCCAGCTTCTCCTTATCCCTTAGAATTAAACAGGATGTTTTTGTTACTGTACCATCAAGTCTGCTATATGTAAATGAGCTCTGTTCTGATTGGCTGCTCTGTATTGAACCTCATTCAAAAAGCAAAGCAGGCTGAAACACTTCTTATAACTTCAGTGTGAATGGGTGGAGTTAACCTGTTCTAGACTCAATAGACAGATAAGTGCTTTGGTTTCTGTGACATCATGAAAACATTGAATTCAAAACAGGCTGTTTTTGCAGCTTTGTTTCCATATATGCATATATTGGAAATAAATGGCATGTTTTCATACATTAACAGAGTTTACATCCTATGTCAAACTCTAAGTCATGCTAAGTATTTAAGTAGTATTTAAATACTATTTCATATGTGGGTTATAACAGTGTATGCCATAATGTTATCCATAAAAATGGATAAATGTATGTCGCATGGCTAAAACAGTAGTAGCAGACAACTTCACTTTTCTGTACTTTTATCCATTTTTGTAGATAACAGTATGTCTCTTTCGCCTCTGTGATGCATGAAATATATAGAAACACTTGTGGGGAAATGCCGGTCTGTGCTGTCCATATCTATTACTATAGTTTTATATGTACAAGATATACAAGATCACCCAGATGGCAACCCCTGCCAAGATGCAGCAGTAAACCTCTCAAGTTCTTAGATGTGCTCAGACTGCAAACTCCAGCACTAGGAGATACTTAGCATATGTCTGAGCTTTTGTCACCCCAGGGGGGAAATGCTCATCTTCAGCAGAGAGAATGAGCTGTTTTAATGGCCTGTAAAATAACTTGTATAAAGAGGCACTAGTAAGTTTGATCGTACCACTTAAAAAGTGGCATCACTTCCGCCAAGGTCATTTCCACTGTCACTTACACTCATTATTCACTTTATTAGAGGCAACCCCCTTGTATTTCCACTCACTGTCCACTTTATGAGCTCCACCTGCCTTTTCGGTCCACTATATGGGTGTACAGTTACAGCCTGTAGCCCATCTGTGATCATGCACAATTTGTCAGCCTCCCTCTTCATCATTGATGAGATACTGACCACAGAATGCTGTTGACCAGATAATATGGTAGATTGGGTATCTGGAGTGGCCCAACACCCAAAAATATCCATTCAAGAGTGGTGCTGTGATCAAAAACTGAACACTGATGAAGGACAAGAGAATGGCCAACACAAATTGTGCATAGCAGCAGTTGGGCTATGGTCTCTAACTGTACACCAGCAGGGTGGATCTACAAGAAACCATTCTGGGCAAAGGTCAGTCAAGACAGCCATTAAGTTCTCTACTGGAGATATTTATTAGAAGATGATATATAATATACTCCATTTGCATAAGGAAGGAGAAAGTCAAAAGAAAAAAAAGAGAAAAAAACACAGTTTTCAAAGCTGCAGTTAAAAAAAATATTAAATGATGTAGAGAAAATGGGATTCCTCTGACAACCATGCAAGACCTGATAGACCACCAGCACTGTCATCATCAAATAAATAGGGTTCTTTAGTAATGGCAATGATTCTATTTAAAACCATGAGTTCTGTATAGAACCATTTCATGCTTAAATTGTTCTTTGCATAGTGAATTGGTTCTTTAGACTGACAGAGAATGTATTGAATATGGTTCCATACAGAACCTTTTTTAAAATGGTTCTATATATCACTATTATTACAAAAAACTTCTATTGTAACAAAGAAGAGCCACAGAAGATGATATATATATATCATCTTAATACTTAATGGCTGTTTTAATAAATGAAGTGTGGTCTCTGATGTTTTCACAGCACTGTAGGTGTTTTTAATAAAGTGGACAGTGAGAAAACACCACAAACAGTAAAACCTGTTTAAATCCTGAGAAGGCAGGCAGTCTGATAGCAGGTATATGGAGATACATGAGATCAATAGTTGGAGCAAGCCAGTCATGTTCTTCTGCCCAATAAAATAACCATAAAAAATAACCATAAACATAAAACTAAGTGACGATTATGCCAGGCCGAATAACAACAGTAGCCTATTGGTTTCACAGAGCTTCCATATAAACTTTGGCATCTGTGTTGCAGTACAGAATTAGTCCAAACTGCTTATAATAGGCCTGTTTCTGGATTCTGTACAGCTGGTAAAGCTGCTAAAAACTGGCAGTTAATCACTTATTTGTAGGAGCTCAGTAATACACTCAGTACTGTGTTTCAGTGGGTGTGCACCTGCTCTCTTTATCCTGTTAGATCATTTACAGAGCTGGAGAAAGCACACAGCTTCAAACCTCCTTCAAAACCCCTACAAAACAACCCTACATATTTAACTGCCACAGTCTCTCTCTCCTTCTCCCTCTCTCTCTCTCTCTCTCTCTCTCACCTCGCAATCATACAGCAGGTGCAGCTGCCCATCGATCCACTCCTCAATGTCCAGTCTCCTCTGCAGGTCTTTCCGGTTGTATTTAACGGTCAGTTTGCCCAGTTTGCGATGGGAGGGCTCCTCCTCTTTGGTCTGAAACATCACCCTGGACTGGGTGCCCGGTTCCGACGCCATCCCTGCCACGGCCACACACACACTGGCCACACACACACTGGCCGCGCACAAACCGCCGAGAGAAGTCTGGGAGCCGTTGCTCTCTCTTCTTCCTCTTCTTCTCTCTCTCTCTCCCTCTCTCACTCTGCCTGGATCTCTCTCAATACCTCCTTACTCTCTTTCCAACAGCCTTTATATTTTATTCCTTATTACTGCTTCTCCCTCTCTCTCTCCTTCTCTTCTCTCGCTCCTCCTCACTCTCTCCTTCTCCTTCTCCTTCTTCTTCTCCTTCTCTCTTTCTCCCTCTCCCTCTCTCTCTCTATCTCTCTCTCTCTCTCTCTCTCTCTCTCTCTAACTTGCACGCTCACCGCCTGCTCCCTGTGGAGGGTTGTAATGAAAGACGGCTTTTTGTGTGCGTGTGTGTGTGTGTGTGTGTGTGTGTGTGTGTGTGTGTGTGTGTGTGGCTTCTTTCCCAGGGTGTTTTAGGAGGGCGAGCGAGCATAGGTCACACAGAAACTGATAAGGTAAGAAGTTTAAGATGATTGACAGAGGGCAAGATAGTTCTGGTTTTAAAGCCATTTATCCACATTAAACACTGAGGAGCTCCTCACTTTGTGTCGTAACCAACATATTAGGGGCTTTAATAATGTGAAAATTTCCTTTGCTGATATCAATGAGCAAATTATTCTGTTTTTTGGAATTATCATTGTATTTTTCAATTAAAAAAAACACTAATACACACTAAAATAATTTTTACTAAACCTGTTTTTTTATTGAGCATTACATTTCTTTACAACACCAAAAAAAATAACATTCCTTCAGGGCATGTTGCCTTGAGGTAACATTGTGCAACAATGAAACAAATAAAAAACAATAACTGCAATGTTTTCCCAAGTGTCTGCATAAGTGACATTTTGTTTGCTTCTGGCCAAGTTCAATTCACTTTTGCACATTGTTGCTTTTAGGCAACGAATATATTTTAGCAATTTCTCATAACCAAATAATATTTATATTTTATTGAAAAAATCAATTTCTCATTCTAACAAAAGTGAATCAAATTTTTGGTTGTATAAAAAGCTGAAAATTAGCTTTTCAGAGGGAATTTGTACAGTGAAGAAACGTGTCATCTACAAGCTGCAAAATGCCAAAATTTACAAGAGATTTACAAATGCCCACCAAGAAATAGTGTATGTACATGCTTTTTATTGGTTTATTCAGACTCTTCTCTTCATCATTAACCCTTCCATTGTCATTAATGAAAATACAATGTATCATGCCATTGTAAAGTGAGGAAAATGGGTTTGTTGCCCTGCAACATTGTGCAGTACAGGGTTAAATAAGTACGACAATCACCAGCACTACTGTTGCTATATGGATATGTGTCACTGTGATGTGTTCTTTCTGGTAGGCTTACGTTTCACCATGAGTTTTTAAAAAGCCATAATCATATAGATTTATCAAAATTATTCCAATTTGAAACGATATGATTATGATCGACTTTATATCATGGTATAAAGTCATTAAAACCAGATCATCCCTTCCCTACAGGACACAACATAAAGTAGTGAAATTGTAAATGGCCTATGAGCGGGGGGAAAACATTGCATGTTGCTGTAATATCTGCTTACTCTACGTGCCCACTGAGCTTTGGGGATTCAATATTAGCTCAGAGGCTTTGTCCAATTTTCAGAGCTAATGGTGTTTTATACAGGTTTAATATCCTGTGCCAGGAAGCAACAGAGAGTAATGGATCAGGCCTCGCCTCACTTTAATTAAATACTGAAAGGAGAAGAAGCATACAAATCAGCCCCACTTACAGGATGTGGTTAGCAGACCTGTCAGTCATCATTCACATCAGGGGGTCCAATCTTATCTGCAAAGGGCCCGTGTAGCTGCAGATCTTCATTCCAACAAAGCAGGAGCTCACCTGATGAGCTGTTTGAAGACAGATCAATTGATGAATGTTTTTCTGTTGATTAATATAATCAAATACAATATTTACTTTGTAACTCTGTTATCAGATTAACTGGGACACTGTTGGCTCTCTGTGTGCATGTGTCGAGCTGCTAGCAAGCAATGAGGAGTGAAAGAGGAGAGAACCCCCTGCTTTGAAAATAATTCACACCTCTCCACAAAGATGGCCATGCAGAGATAAAATGGACAGCACAACTACAGCTTTCTTCATATCAAATGACAACAAATGATGTAACAAATGATGTACAACCACAATTTAAAAAAGCATTCAAATATAAAAACACTTTAAAGTGGTGAGTTGCTTTCTCAGCCATGAAAACAAAAATCCTGTTCACTTCTAGCTTTCTAAACTGTAAACAATTGTACACGGAAAATGCATTTTATGGCTACTGTGAAGTGGGATCAGGTGTGCTTCTGCTTGTTTGGAATAAAAGCCTGCAGCCACACCAGGCCCTTTACAGACAAGACTGGACACTCCTGACCTAAATTAACTACTTCCAAACCGCTGGGAATAAAAATCAAGGTCTACATTAGGCACTGCAGATATGACAGTGGAGGAAAGGAGATTGATGGTGTGTAGAGCACATGCTCTGCCTATAGGACCGAAGAGTATATTACTATATAATGTGTGACAGTGTATTCCAAAATATAAATTGAATATATTGGAACATATGCACACACCTTTTCTAAACCGCTTACCCTTGTGGGTCACGGAGGAAGCTGGAGCCTATCCCAGAGGTCATCTCGTTTTCAACAATATATTTGGTTGCAGACAAATGTAGAAAATGATTCTATACTATGTTAGACCTGTGCAACTTCACAGGTTACAAATAATCACTAGAAAGCTGTCGAAACACAATTAACAAGTGTTAGATGTGTCCAGAATGATGAAATATAGACGATTCTAAACCGGTAGAGACAGATGTATAGCACTGAGAATTAAGTTAAAATTAAATGAACATCCACAATTCATTGTATTTTAAAAGATCAAACCTCAAGAAAAAGAACTTGACAAAAATATTCCTGTAAGTAAATAATTACTGTATATTATTTATCATTTAGTAAGTTCTTGTTCCTAAAATATTGAAAAACACATCTAAACTACTCTCTGTACCCAAAAGTTTGTAGACATGTGCTCATTCAGTGTTTCTTCTGAAATATTAATATGGAGTTTGTTGCTGCAGTAAAAGCCTCTTCTCCTCTGAGTGTTGGAACATTGCTGTGAGGATTGATTGCAGCCACAAGAGCATTAGTGAGGTCTGGTACTGATGTCGGATGATCAGTTCTGGATCACAAACGCTACTCCAAGTCATTGCAAAGGTATTGGATGGTGCTCCATCACTTCAGAGAATGCAGTTCCTCTGCTCCACAGCCCAGCGCTGTACTCCACTAGTCAATGCTTGGCATTGAGCATAATGATCTTAGGCTCATATGCAGCTGCTCTACAGCATCCCATTGTACTGGCAATACTTTTCTATTGAGAATATACAAGCTGTGTGGATTTAAAAAAAAATCCAAAACAAACAAATCTAAAATGCAGGCACAGGGCACATGCTCAGGCATGGAATGCTGATAAGAAAGTGCAGAAAAAAGATTGTTATGATGTTAAGATGGCTGCCGCCCCTCCTTACCATGTCTGTGTCTATTGTGATGCTTCATAATGAGGGAAATGTGATATCACATGCAGCAACACTCCCCCTAGTAATATGTGGGTTTCCCAACCAGCTGGTGCAGCTATGGTAAGCATTACAATCCAGCCATGTTCATTTTTTTATTTATTTTACTTATAGCCAACCTTACCGTGTGGGCATTTTGAAAAGCTGGACACAAAGTCCAGCCTTAAGTGGCCTACATTTTGGAAAACAGAAGGCTAGTGAGATGCCAAAACCAAATTTGAAATTTAAAAATTTTCTGGCTTTTACTTTCCAGTTAAGTTTTTGTTTATTTGTTCATTTAAAGCAGACATGATAATGATAATAATAATAATAATACATCAGCTTCATGTTCATCAAATAGCCTTTCTTGGTATGTTGAGCAGGTTTATAGATAATGATTTGACAGTTTTCTCTTCCAGACTATTGTTGAAAGAATGTTTTGAAACTCTTTTGGCCCAAAGTTTCTGAAAGAGTTGAAAGGTTTGAGTGCTAATATGACAGCTACTGAATAAATATGTATATATATATATATATATATATATATATAAATGTACATATAATTGTTCATATCCAAAATTTATGTGCAATATATGCCAATAAATTGTTGCTGTCTGGACAAAACCTTGTATCTCCATTTTGGTTGTTTTTTATTATTTGACATAGTTTGAAATCTCCAGCTGCTCTTTAAATTGTGTCAAAATTTCATGATGAATGGAACAATGGAAATGGTACAAAATGACTTGGAATAAATAATTTCTCCATTAGCGTCTAACGTTGTTAGGGATGCTTTTTCCTTCTCCTGTAAAGTTACCCTTTTGGAGGCATAAAGTTTTGTTTTGACAGCGACGACATGTAATGGTCTAGCACCAAAATACCAAACACAAAAAATACATATACAAACAAGGGCGTTGGAGTGAGTTTGACATCGAGAGAGGGATACATTTGCTACTATGAATCCGTCACTGAAGTCACAGAGCTGAATAGCTGCTTGAAAACAATTCTGAATGGGACTCAGGAGGCTTATGAGAGACTAAGCATACTGTTTTATTTCTGCAATTATTAGCGCCAGAATGTAGGCTAACTCCTGAACCAATTTGGAACAGGCATTCAAACAAGAAGCTGGCGAATAAGAAGCTGACTTCAGCCTCATTGTTCTCTGTGGCTAAAATCAGGCTGATACGTAACATTACTGTCCTACCTCATGTGTACAGATCAGAACATGATCATTTTAAGCGGTGAAGTTGACTGTTTGCTGTGAATTCCCAAGCTAATGGCGATGCTAATGATGCACTGGTTTGACTGCTTTTACAGACACAAAGGTAAATGTTAAGGGTAAATGCAATAACAGCTAAGTTAAATGTTTTTAGCATTACAGATGTCCTGAGGTAAACTGGCATTACTACGGAGCCCCGCTGGTGACATCCTGTATAAATAAAAATAATGTGTGGCCATGACTTAGTAAGGCGTGGGAATGAGATAATTAAGTTGTGGCCACGACTTAGTAAGCATGGGAACGAGATACGAATGCATGGCCACGACTTAGTAAGCCGTGATCTCGTTCCCACACCTTACTAAGTCATGGCCACGCATTATTTTTATTTATACAGGATGTCACCAGTGGGGCTCCGTAACCATGAAAAACTAATCTTGTCTGAAGGTAGTACCCTTTAAAAGAACTCGGTAACATTGTGTTTTGTGGCAGTTTTGTTTATCTTTTTTGGATTCTTTGAAATGAGATGACAAAACAAAAACAAAAAACAAAAGTTAAGATAAATGAGAAGTTCTGTCATTACAAGACTGAGACAAGACTAACATTAACGTTAGACAGTGAGGCTGTGTCCCAAACAACACTCTCTGGACCTTTACATACTGCACTACTGAAAGCACTTCTAAGGGTGGTGTATTTTTTGTTTTTAAAAACTATTTAGTGTGGCAGTATACACGTTACCTAACGTTTCAGAGCACTTTTTTGACAACGTGAGCATAGTTAATGTTAATGTTAGCTAACCCAAATCCTCCTAATATGTTACCATAACAAGAAGTTAAACACAACCTGTTTTCATAACTATAATTAGCCATCGTTGCTATTCGTTGTGCTCTCGTTACTGACCTCATGTTCAAAGCTGGTAGGAGCTAGCCTCACTAACTACCAAGACGACACTCCGACGAGGCGAATGCTGAGGCTGGTGAAGTTGGTGATTGGAGGATATTCAAACATACCATGATTTTCTTAGACAAAAGCTAAAAGGAAGCCCAGCACCACCCAACACACATAGCATGAAATGGGAAGGTTGTCTGATTTGCTGGCAAAACGTGCTACTCTCGGTGTCTCACTTTCAAAATTATTTTTTTTCTCCCTTTTTGGGTGGGGCCAAATGCAACCCCAAATGCAATGTTTCCAATATTGCATCCCACCCGCTTCCTACACCAATATGTACAAATATTTCCTCATGTCAAAAATATATATATCACATTAGGTATCATCTCTGTTTAAGTGACAATAAAAGAATAATTTATGTTATCAGAGACATACATTTTTATGTTATTTATTTCCTTCTTTTGGAGTCCAACTTGGCAATCAAGGTCAATCAAAAACTTTATTGAAGCTATCAAGTAAAGCTAACTCTATTATTATTATTATTATTATTATTATTATTATTATTATTATTATTGGTTTAATATTATTGTTGTTGTTGCTGGATAGTGTAGAGGTTAACATTCTTGTTTCTCATATGGAAGGACTTAAGCTGTTGTGTCATTTTATAGCATTTAAATATATGCAAATATGTTGACACATATGTGAATATATTCAAATATATCCTCATATATGTAGATTAAATATATGTAATATTGTCAATAATATGTACATATATGTCAAAAATATATTTCAGAATTATACTGACAATTTAAAAAAATATATGTAAATAATAATAATGACATGTAATCACAAAATTCAAAAGGGTACTGTTAGATGTTCATCTAAGGTATAACAGTGCAAAATATCATGACTGTAGACCAATCAGAACATGTACTGTGGCATTTTTCCTCATCATACTAGATTTAGTTGTTGGACATAATCAGGTTAATATGTTACAATATTGCAAAGCCAGAAAAATATGCCCATTTGTTTTAAAACTTTTTGAAAAACCAGGTGTCCCCAAACTTTTGAGAGGCAGTGTGTAAGCCTGAAATCCCATAGAGCTGCCATCAGTAGATCACACATCACGTCAAGCTGTATAAACAGAATAGTGGTGCACCCACATGCCAGTCGTTTACAATAAGGAACATGGGGCTGGACAAGGCCCACAACACGACCATCGAGCTCACAAAGATCCCATTACGATAACAACAATGGCTGCCTCATTTTTCTTTTGTTTTGGCAGGGCATATCAGTCCGCCAGTTCGCCCGCTGATGCGCCGTCTGTTACGAAGCCTGAATTATTGAGCACTGTTGCAGCTCAGCTTTCATAGCCAACAAATTCATTCATTCCAGCTCCGGATCAGCTCCGGGGTATTGCCCCTGCAGCTCCACTGCCGAGGAGAACGAGTGCAGCTTCAGGATCAGTTCGTTTTTCCTTTATCCCATACGAAAAAATTACATAGGACAATATGTTGCTTTGCTAAATATGTTTTAAGTGCATACAAGAGAATTACAGCGCTGTGAAAAAAGTATTTTGTCCTGATTTCCTCTGTTTTGCATATTTGTTACACTAAATGGCTTCAGATCCTCAAACAAAATGTAATTTAAGCCAAGGAGAACATGAGGAAACACAAAACACAGTTTTTAAATGATCGTTTTATTTATTGAATGAAAAGAAGTTTTGCAACATCTATTTCAACCATGTGAAAAAGTAATTGCCGCCTAATAACAGGTTGTGCCACCTTTAGCAGCAACTGGAGATGAGTCTTGTACATTGCTGTGGAGGAATTCTGGCCCACTCTTCTTTGCAGAATTGCTTTAATTCAGCCTCACTTGAGGACTTTTGACCTCAGCTGCCTGTTTAAGGTCCTGCCACAACATCTCAATGAGGTTCTGGTCAGGACTTGGCTAAGCCACACCAAAGCCTTAATTTTGTTTCTTCTGAGCCAATCAGAGAGGGGCTTGCTCTTGTGTCTAGGATCGTTGCCTTGCTGTATAACTGAATTGTGCTTATAGGCAATAGGCAAATAAACCCACTAACCAATCACGATACTTCCTGACAGACTTTTACTGTATGCTGTGAGGATCTGAACTGTGCAACTCCATCCATTACAGTTCTCATTACACATTACACTTGATGAATCAGGGTATTTACTTAATCCAAAAAAAGTAAATTATTTTGTCCAAAACAGTGCTGGCCAACTTTCTCACATTAATGATTCACAACTGCATTCTGTAAAATGCTGAAAGGCATATCACAGTGATAATACGTAGCTCTAGAAGCATAATACTGGGATTTTTTTCCATATTGTACAGTTTAAATGTACGTGTAGCCAGATGCTATATTTAGAATTTTATAAGAGGATTTTTTTTCCCCAATAAATAACTTGTATTTGTATATTTGTCCCATGAGGCTTGACCCTTATTTGTATCATGAATATGGATACTCATGGTCATATAGACAAATATATGTCATTCCCATGTATATCCATATTCACAAATATATACAAATAAGGCTCAATACCATATTCTGTCTTGTACAAATATTATTAATTTGACACAGGACAGAATATAATTTTGAGCCTTATTTGTATCATGAATATGAATATACCTGGTCATACAGACAAAAGCCATTCAAATGCAATGTAAATACTTGTTCCAGCCTGAGTGATCTGCACTGTGAATGCATATGACAATAAACTTGACTTGACTTGACTTGACTTGACACATTGCTGCAGAATTTAGTGAACTCATCTGATGACTTGAATCAGTTGTGTTGGAAAAACATTTAACATCCACTAATCTGTGTAATCACAGGACTGTACGTGAACAGGCATGAAGATATGTAAAAAGGCAAGATGTGACAATAACAAAATAAGAGGGATGTCTTCTGTTGCCATGCACAAGTACAATTCCCCTGTAGCCATAAAGATGACTTACAGAAACACTAGTGCTGCAATTCATGATGGCATGCTGAAATGCACTTCTGAGAGTGCGCTTGTGTGTTTGTTCAGTGCTGGCGTTGTCATGGTCAGACAAGAGACCGCAGGAGCTGTGACTCCCAGGGAACACAGTCAGTTGGTCATGAATCATATCTCTGAAATGCACCCTCATTACGCAGTACCTGCGTGTCTGCGCTGTCTGCGTGGGGCCTTGAATATTTTTCAGTCTATCAAATTACAAAGTACTTTTATGTATGACTGCCACCTTGTGGCCACATGTATAAACGATCAAATGCTGATTTAGGATCAGACTTTCTCCCTGTGCCGTCTCACAACAGCAGTATTCTGAAAATAAATAAATAAAGTACTATACACCACCGTATATGTAGTACTATACACCACCATAACCACCCTTCATTTATTTAATTATTTAATTTCCAGTCAAAACAGCCTTTAAGTCTGTTTCAACATTATTGAATGTATCCTGGATTACTTGGACCATGAAAAGCGTAAAATGTTTATATAACAGAATTAATAAATAAAAACAATTTAAAATTTATCACAAGCTTATCTTAAGTACTACTTGCCTAACTTTCTAATCAAGTATCTGAAAAAAGGGGAACACTAAGTGCACTCAGGTAAACCCAGGTGCGCGCCTGAAAGGGGCGTGGTCCGTGATGTCGACTGTTTCGCATTAAATTTCACTTCCTGTTACTCAGGTATCGGACACACCTGAAAAACAACAGTCGAACGTCATCTAAACTCTTAAGTTATTACTGCTACAGATATCGTGATTTCGAGTGAAAACCAGTTCAGGGACCGAGACTGACATCCCATGAGGGCAGTGGACAGATCAGGAGGCGCCCAGCTTTAACCTACATCTCGTTTAATCGGTAAAATACCTTCACCTTCTCACATTTTACTGAAAGGCCTTCAGACGTTGGCTGTGTGCTTTCAGGGTCCTCCGGTTTCTCTCAGTAGCTGTTATTTATGGGCTTGTTTCCCAGACGTGGATTACTGAGCTAATTTTTAGGGTTTTAAGAGATTTACAATTGATACTGTAAAGGCCAAACGAGACGGGGTTGGGGTAAGGCCTCTTTTTCCTTTCAGTTCTCTGGTGAAAATGTAGGGAAATGCTAATTTCCTTGTGTGGGTTTTGTTTACAAGACATGGAATAATGATCTAACTTGTTGAGTTAACATTGGCAAATCTTTTTAGCTTAGGCTTAACCTCAGTCTGGTAAAGTGGGTATACATAATGTTTTATTCAATAAATGGTCGCTCAGTCGTGACTTTGAAGCCACAGGCTCCTCCTTCACTTGACTAGCTTGTTGCTAAAAGGCGAGTTTCATGCTGAGAGGAAGGTTTTGTGTTCAGCAGGTTTCGCCTCAGGCCACAGAGGGGAAACTTCACCCCACAGCAGGATGACTCTTTATCAGCTGTGCTTTCTGGCTGTGGCCGGCGCTGCGTTTTTCCTGGCGCTAACTGAGGCCCAGGACTCCGGACAGCAGTGCCTTGAGAAATTCACCCAGGGAAAGGAGGACTTCGTGTTAGACACGGATGAGTCTGTGAAGGAGGGCGCCACCTTCCTGGCCACTCCTTCGGTCACTACAGCCTCAGACTGCGTGTCTGCCTGCTGCAAAGACCCCACATGTAACTTAGCCCTGATGGAGCGTGGCAGTGAAGAGGGGACCATCAGCTCCTGCTTCACCTTCAACTGCTTATACAAGCAGAAGAAAGTGTGCCGCTTTGTCAGAAAGAAGGGCTTCAAAAACTACGTCCTGACTTCTGTTTTTGGGAGTTACCTCAAGGATTACACTCCAAGTAAGTGTTAAAAATAGGTGTTCATGTTCTTATTTAAATTGAGGAGAAACGTTAGACCACCACTGATATCATTTATATACTTAATTGTGATATTATTTGAATGTTTGGAGGGGTGGATTGAGGTTTATACTCCAAATAACTATTAAACTATTAAAAATGTTGATTCTTCTTATTTAATTGGTGAAGAAAAGGTGAACAACCTTTTACAATACATTTACATAGGATATTTGAAGGGAAAGTGGAGTCAAGTATACAAGTAAAAAGTGAGATATGTGGTTAGACATTGGAGAAAAATGAACCACTATTGATATCTTTTCGTATTGTCACTGTCAGAACAAAACCTTATCTTCATTTTTGATGTTTTTCATTTTTTCCATAATCAAAAAATCCCATTTACACAGTGTCAAAATTTCATGACAAGCAGATCGATACAAATGCTCAAAATTGTTGAAAATATTGTTACAATAACTTACAGTGAAAGTTAATAAACATTTGTCCTTCTCCTGTAAAATAAATTTTTTGGGGATATGAGGTTTCTTCTGACAGCGATGAAATGTAAATGGTCATTAGGAAGCAAATATGCCATTTTTTGAAGAACTTGAGTGCCAAGTTTCCACTCTCTGTTAATTTGACTGGCTGTAAATTCACCTTTATTCAAATTATTTATAATATGCTTGTGTTATGGAGCTGCTTTCTGTTCAGAGTTTCTAACATGCATGTAGACGGTTTTGTTAGGAGCTTCCATGATAAACAGAAACTGGAACCGTGTGACTTGCGTTAGAGGATGATTGTGCAAGTCCACACCTGCAAGGATTTCGATACTCGGCCCCTAGATTGGGCTACAGCTCCGCTGCTTAGACACGTCTTTTTGGTAGCCACTGAGTTGTTCATTCTTGTAACATCTTCATTTTAAAAAGTTTTAATTGTTCATTGAGCTGCTTGAATTAGAATGGAACATGTTCCTGTTTTTCAAGATTCTTCTGCTTACCTGATGAAATTCTCCTGAAGTCTCAGACATGCCTCATTCCCCTGCCTCAGTCAGGCGCTGACTTGTTTGATTGTAGATAATATAATTGTTTTTTTGTTTTGAATATGATCATTTTGCCTTTCTGTTGTTTCTTTTGCCTTCCTGGCTTGCTCAGGTGAAGAGGACAAGCCCCCTATAGCGATAGCAGGACAGGACAGAGTGATTCAGCCTAATGAACCAGTCACACTCAATGGCTTAGAGAGCAGAGATGACCATAAAATCATAGACTACCAGTGGGAGCTGGTGTCTGGAAGCTCCCCAGCTGACATTGTGGTAGGTGGCCTCCCTCAAATTTCTTTAGGATCTTTGTGTTACCGTTAAGGTGACCTCTTTTGGTCTTTCAAGACACATGGTCTTTTGAGACACATTAACAAGTCTAAAAAGCACTCTTGATGGAAAGTTTTCATTCATGTTTATACTGAACAAAAATATAAAATAGACATTTTACTGAGAGAATTTGTCCAAAACCTTGCGAAATACTGAGAGGGTCATGAAACAGAATTCCCTCATTAGTGTGACCACCATTTTCCAGCAGTTTTGAATTACTGCAGAATCTAAGCACAACCAAATGTCTCACATTTATATACTTGTTCATTATATTTATGGGTGCCTAAAGGTTGAGTGGCTTGCTAAAAAGCATAGTGCATTTTGTCATAAGAAACCTCATAGCCCCTTTTTGTTTGTTTTTGGTTGTTCATTTTTACACCATTTAGAAAATGGGGCATGTGTTTACAAATCTTGTCAGAGTTGTTGATCTAGGACCTGTAATGTTGTTGAAGTCATAGTAAATAAGAGAGGAATCTGATCCTAGATCAGCACTCCTACTCTCAGAGGCTTTGTGACTACAAGCCCAGATGTCCTTTACTTTGAACGCATCGTGATGAATGGGCTGATAGGTTCCCTTTTCAGATGTACTTTTAAGTTTTGTTAGCGGACATTAAGGACACATTTACCTTTTTCTGTAAAGTCACTGTTTCATAGATGTAAGCTGTTCATCTGTCAGGGACGGTAACCTGGCCCTTTCATTCAACCGTGTGCTTCCAGCCATCCATCAAGCTTTCAGGTTAATGTAATACTGGATCTTTGCAGTCTGAAGTAAACCTCCCTTATGTCCATTCCTTTCAGAAATCCACACAATATCCAGATCAAGTAACTGTGCCTAATCTATCGCCTGGGGTATATAAATTCAGGCTGACTGTAACAGACAATGCCGGACAGTCAGACTCTGCAGAGGTCACAGTCTTGGTCCTCACGCCTGAGCAGTCGCACCGTGAGTACTTGTCTTGAAATAAATATGTGAACTTTTTTGCCAAGCACTTCTGTAGGTCATCCTGTACCAAATAGAACTGTCGCAAATTAATGCTGAAGGAAGAAAGGCAGGAACATTATGTAACTGGTTTTGATATAGGGGGAACTACTTTTTGTCTACATATACAAGTCTACTACTGACTCATATAAATACTATTATTATCTATAGTAATATGTATGCAACTGACCCATATAAGATTGATTCATACAATACCAGTTAATCTTAACCGCTGGCTCATATGAAAGCAGTTAATCACAACTGTTTACTCTTAAAAGCAGTCAGTCTTGTGGTTTTGAGATGATGTTTTGGTTTCATACAGAAAAAAAAACATACAGGTTTTGAAAAAATTTTCCTGAAATTACACTGGATGCCAGCATTGAAAATTAGACTATTTATGGCCAGCTGTTCCATAAAAAATAATGTGCTTTAGAAATTATTCTAAACTGTGACACTAGCGTGTCATATTTTTCTATCACTAATTTATAGTTGTGTGCTTCAATTTTTTTACCATTTTATTTTTTTATAAACTTTGGTTTGTTTTTTCTTAAGAATGTGAGATATGATGTTTGCACATGTTACATGTATAATCTGTCCTTTTATCTTGGTTCTGCTTTGGAAGGGCCAAGAAAAGAGGGCAGCTCTTTTAGTTTTGGTTTTCTGTAGTCCAGTGGTGCAAATAAGCTTTAAAATTGTCTGTTTGAGGTGAAGTAAACCATGCTGTTGTTTGTCCAGGAAACATAAAAATATTTTGCCGTTATTGTGGTAAAAGTTGTTTTACACTTTCCATCTTGGTATGAGTTAATTTGATAGCTGTTACTTTGGAAATTTATGCGTTAATGACAACAGCTCAACCTCTTCATCCCGACTATAAAAGATTTCTCATTAAAATCTACCAAGAGTTGTTCAGTGAAGTTTAAATGTGTCTCACGATTCATAGGAAACAGGAAATGCGTTGTGGTGAGTTTGTGGTGATTTGCTTTCGTCTGTGAGGTACTGAAACTGGTTTAGCTTGTTTTCTGCTAGAGTTTCACAAATCTAGAGCAAGCATGAGAGGCTGTTACTGTGGGTAACTAAGACCTTTCACTACTAGTTTGTTTTTTTTACCTAAGAAACTGTTGGATTGTGTTGGATTTCTTATTTGTCTTGGCTCCAGTAAGGATGGACTTTTTTTATTGGAGATGTGAACACATGCTGAACACTTGATGGTAAGGACTTTATCAGTCACTAGGAGCTGCCAGCTTAAAGTAGCTTTTTTCCCCTCTGGCACATATTATTGGTGAGGAAGGTATTATGGGACGGTATTTCTTATTTTATTCTTTATTCTTATTCTGGTTACAGTTAAATACTGTTACAAATTCCTGGTGCTCTTTTGCTGCCTCATGATCTTATTAACCATTTACAGCTTGTTATTGTAAATATAAGTAAGTACAGATACTTAAATTATTGACAAGATTTCTGGTGGTATTTGATTATCAACAGCATTATGGATTGGCTTAAGAATAGATGTCGGTTTTGTTTTGAAGTTGGAGGTTTAGCATTAGATTTAATGGAATCTTTCACACTCAACTTCAAGTTCAGTTGCATTTAATAGATATTTAGTTGAATGTTACTTAAAGATGGGCTGATCGCTACAAAGCATCTACAGTAGACCGCCAGGTTTCTTTACGCAACTGCAAGCTTTGTTTAAAATGACTTTTTCTGACCACATGTCTCCCTGTGGCGTGATGTCTGTATTTCTTTTTTCACACACACATCTCACAGTGAAACCTAACTTCAGAGTTCCTCTCAAAGTTAGTGTAAAAGTCATGTGGCATCATTTTGTGGTGTTATGGGTTTTATATAAAATCATAACATTAAGAAATAATTGTGGTATGCGACAATGAAACTGCGATCTGCAGTGCATATAATGGGAGTCAATTAATATCATGCTGTTTCTATACCATGCCCTTTTTAACAGTGTAATTATTGTCATCATACTTGGAATCATATCTGTTTACATTAACTTCCATAAAAAATCAAGGATGTTTTTACTTCTCCTGTGAACTTACTATTTTGAAGATATGAGGTTTTGTTTTGATAGTGATGATATTTTCTTTTATGTGATAGTTACTCGAGCTGGGCAATGTAACAACGTTCCTAGTAATTTTGTATTATGATAGTGACATCACATAATGCAGTGCACATGGCTCATTTATATGAAACAGGGCATTTTTAGATCATTGAATGTGGTCAAAAAGTGTACATTTCATTTTTCAGATCACTGTCTGGTGCCTAAGAAGGCAGGGCCCTGTCGTGGATCCTTCCCTCGCTGGCACTATAATGCAGCCTCCGAGAAGTGTGAGGAGTTTATCTTTGGGGGATGCAGAGAAAACCGCAACAACTACTTGTCTAAGGCGGAATGCCTAAATGCCTGTGATAAAGTGTCAGGTACTGATCCTCTGTCAAACTTGCCAAAATGTAAAAAAACTAACCACAAGAAAGTTTTTTTTACTGGTCCTTTGGTCATTTAATGGGGAGATGTTGTTGTTTTATTTATTTATTTTTTTGGGGAGTGGGGGGGGCATATTTTTTGCCCATTGAACACTCAATGGTTCCATAGAAAAATGACTTTGGGTTCCATAAAGAGCTTTTCATTTGATTTTTCTTTAAAGAAGCTATTTTGGAAATGAGGTGTGTGTGGAGAGCCTTTTTTAAAATTCAGAAACCTTCACAAGGGATTTTGACATGCATACAGGATGTATGTATTATAATCGCCATACTTTTTTTTTTTTTTATGTATGTACTTGCAAAAGTTCCACATACATTTTTCTGTCATGGTATGTAAAAGTGCACTGGAAGCAGCAGTTCTACTTGGTTTGATTTTTGTCTGGTAGTAAAATGTTGATCCTTATCACTCATCAATTGTTCCTTTTTCTAATGCAGTGAAGACACCTGCAGGAGGAGGAAGACATGGTCCGATTGAAATTCCCCGTAAGTTATAATGCCCCATATCAGTGCATTCTGTTTAGAACACCTTGTGCAGTTGGAGCTTTAGATTCAGATTGTTAATAAACTAGGTGGGAAGGTAGATCATCCAAAAAATGTATTGGCAGGCAACAGAGAAAGGTAACCTGAGCATAATGTGCCTGCAGTCCCCCATTAAGCCAATATCATTCACCTCTAAGCACTGAGTTCATTGTAGCAAGACGTAGTGTTGTACCTTAATCCAGTCTTAGTCTCTGTCTTGTCTTAATTAAACAGTATTTTGCAGGACCTAACTGATATATCGGTTGGCTGATATTAGCTACCCATAGTATCAATGGCATCGGCAGATAACATTGCCGATAATGGTCGTGGCAATTCATAGTTATGTATAGAACAATTTTCTTTACTAAAGAACCCTTGAGGAACCAAAATTTTCAAATGCGATGTTATAACAATACAGTTCAAAATGATAAATCTGAACACAAAACACCATCATGATAAACGTTACAAAAACATATAAAAGACATAACGTTATTTTGTGTTATATTACTTTCATGTAGATAACTGATAAAAAATAAGAAAAATAACAGGTGATGAACAGAAACCAAATTCACAAAGCATGTACAAAATGCGTTCTTACAACATTTCCGTTACGTGCAAGTGTTGTAGAACGCAAAGCAGAAACCTTCCACTGTTCTGCTGTGGTGCGTAGCTTCTGGTATAAAACAAGCTTATGGTAGCCCAATATGTGCTCTTAAAATAATTGTATTCAAGTAGTTTTCCTTCTCTATCAGCTAAAGAACAAGCCCTTCTTGGTTTGAAGTGGGGAAACTCTAAACTGAGCAAGAAAAACTCTAAATTGAGCAGTACAGGGGCTCACAGTTGAGAACCACGACTATAGATTTATCATTAATTATCCTTGTTTCTTCCAAGTGTCTTGAGACACTTCTTTCAGTTTATGAAACTCATTAACATTTTTTGCAGCTGAGCAGTGTGGAGAGCCTTGTGGACCAGAGAAGTTCACATGTGCTAATGGATGCTGCATAGACAAAGAACTCGAATGTGATCAGGAGAAGCAGTGCAGTGACGGCTCTGATGAGGAACAGTGTGACAAATGTAGGTACCTGTGCTCAAATTTTACTACAGGAATGCAGAAATACATTCTGATGCATTAATGTCTTGGGAATAGGAATAAAGTTATGCTGTCTTGCAACGTAAGCAAAATGTTATAACCAAGTCGAAGTATTGTACCGTGTTCCAAGTCTTTTGCAACTGTCATACACACTTCTTTGGCTGTTTAACTATGATTGTTGGCTTGAATAATCAGCGTAGAAGTAGACATCCACGTTGTTGTCCTTCATCTTGTTTTGTTAAGAATTTCTTTCTGTTCCTAAACAGTGGGCTCAAAGTTCCGCAGACTGCTTGACATACCTGTGGATGTGGACAAAGGTTTGTGTGTGCACTGTGGTTTTTATAGTTATTGTGTCAGTAAGTCTTTCCTTTCTACTCTTAAACCAAGTCTTTTACTTTTTATTTTTTATTTCAGTTCGTTGCACACAGCCTCCAGTCACAGGCCCTTGCCGGGCTAGTTTTACACTTTGGTACTACAACCCATACGAGCGTCAGTGCAAACGTTTCAACTATGGGGGCTGCGACGGCAATGATAATCGCTTTCAAGCAGAGGAGCACTGCATGAAGGTCTGCAAAGATGTGACCGGTGAGTTTTTGCTGGACACTTTTCCTTTTTTGTTACTTCCTAAAAATGTGCTCCTTGTAGTACATTGATCTCTTTGTTGATGAGAACTTCATGAGAACTTTTGTAAGAACCTCCAGCTTCTGGAGTGGCTACTCAGAATGTATGCATATCAGTTACTAATGTTTGACCCTATGACTGCAGAAAATGATGTCTTCGCCAGACGGGCAGTCTTCGAGAAACAGACAGGGGACGGCAATACAGGTAATTGTCAGAGCTCTCCTAACCCTCTTGAATCAAATTTCATTTGATTAGGGTTGTATTTTGGGCCTGTTTTACACATTGCATTAACATGTGTTTTCAGGGATGGGATTATGTTTAGATTTCACTTGATTGCATGAAAAGCCAGTTGTAAACACACAGGACGTATTTAGAGCAGATTATGATAGGATAACTCTAACAACATTTGGAGGTGGTCAGAGGTCATTTTTAATATTTGATTGGTTGTCTTTGTACTATTTTTCAATTAAATATGGGGTTTAAATGATTTGAATATCATTACATTCTGTTTTTCTTTACATTTTGCACAGCGTCCTAACATTTTTGGAAAATGTGTAAACGGAATCTGGCCAAAGTTTATCCACATATGATCTGGAAGCAAAGCACATGTTAATGCAAGGTGTGAACAGGCTCTTAGAAACATAAAATTTACAAGAAACCAGATTTCAATACGTTTTTTGACTCATACTCTTTGTTGTCGTTGCCATTTAAAGCAGTACTTCAGGCCAAAAATGTTATTTACACGTTTTCTTTTTTCCACAAATTTTAGACAGTTGGCCAAGACATATTTGGTGTCCAAAGTTTGCTTCTTTAGTTTTGCACTGGAGTTACGAGGCTAATGTAGCTAACAAGTAATGAAAGCTAACAGAGACACACATTATGCAAACTGCATGCCTAAATGAACACACACCTGCTTCAAACCCATCTCATATAGTCTTGCTTATGTGCTTTCTAAAAATCCTGAGCATTGAAGACGGTGACAAGTTCAAAAAACAGTCCTCTGTATCGGGATCTGCTGGTTCATTCCTTAGAGGACATTTTAGCAATTTTAACATGAAAATTCTGGTGCACTTTAAGAATAAAATACAGGGGTAATTGGGTGGAATTATTTCGCTTATCGAGTTCAACAACTATGCAAATCCGGGCAGTTATGATAGTCCTCAGAAATAAATGTTTGACATCAATTTTAGACGAAAGCTAAATGGAAGCTGTTTGTTTTAGTTACTGACATTGATAATTTATACACATTAACCTTTTTTCACCTACTCTTTGAAAGCTAATGAACAAAGAAATTCAAATATGCAAAAATTACAAGTATTACAATTACGCAAGTATTTTCCACCCCTGTGTATGACCATAAAAATGAACTGGAAAAAGTTGACTGAAACTGAAACTATTACTTCCCATAGTGAGCTTACCACTGGCTGCAACACTCGTGATCTGTGGAAGATCTTGCAGCATTTGCATATTAGATGTAATGTTTCTTTGGAGAACATACACTATGTGGTCAAAAGTATGTGGACACCTGAGCAATACACTTATATGAGCTTTTTGGACATCCCATTCCAAAACTACTGGTATTAATATGGATTTGCCCCCAATTTTAAGGCTCTAACAGCCTGCACTCATCTGGGAAGGCTTTCCACAAGATTTTGGAGTGTGTATGTGGGGAATTTGCGTCCATTCTATCAAAAGATCATTTGTGAGGTCAGGCACTGATGTTGGATGAGAAGGCCTGACTCGGCAGTTGACATTCCAAACCATCCCACACTAAACTCATCAAAGCGTGCCTTTTACCGTAGGCAGAGACCACATGGTAGGTAGCGCCCTCCTGGCATCCGCCAAACCCTGATTCATCTGTCAAACTACCAGATAGTGAAGCACGATTAGTCACTCCAGAAAACACATTACCACTGTATGTTTACCACAAACACCACTCTAGCTTGGCATTGCGCGTAGTGATCTTAGGCTTCTTTGCAGCTGCTCCTCCATAGAAAGTCATTTCATGAAGCTCTGGACACACATTTATTTTGCTGATGTTGCTTCCAGAGGAAGTTCAGAACTCTGTAGCAAGAGATACCACAAAGAAAGGTGATTTTTATGCACTACACGCTTCAGTGCTCTGCGGCTCCACTCTAAGATTTAGTACAGTTCCATTGCACAATGATAGCCCTCACAGATTTTAACAGGGCAAAAATTTTACAACCTGACTTGTGGCAAAGGTGGAATCCTATGATAGCCACATCTAAAGACACTGAGCTCTTCACTACAACCCATTCTGCTGCCAGTGTTTTGCGGTGGGTGTGGCTGAAATACCTGAATTCAGTACTTAGGAGGGTGTCTGTATACTTTTGGACATATTGTGTAGGTTTGAATTTTATATGTAAAAACAACCAGAAAAACAGCATGAGCCCAATATGGGAATTAAATAATTAGAAATCATTTTTTCATTGTTTCATATAGAAAAAGATCACATCATTAGGAGCATTAACATTATAAGCACAGATTATCAATAAGGGTGTAACAATACTCATTTTCATGGTCATTGTGTCAGAGATTTGTTTGAGATTACTTAATGACGATGCAGTTTAAGGCAAGTTTGTGATTTAGCAAAGCAGCTTACTTTGATCTAATGGGTAGGTAAACTTTCATTATCTTGTTGCTCCTATATTTTATAGCCAGATTTTGCAAAACCAAACGTGTTTTGGTTGATCAGCTGTATTTGTCATAAGTTAGAGTAGTAAATAAGATTTTTGGGCAGATCTTAACTTCAAAATGTACCATTCATTCCCCAGTCCATAGAATCTGTATATAAATCTTCACTACAAAAACATCCTGTTTTGCGTTCATTGTTTCTGTGGTACAAACACCCGAGGTGACCATGATTAGTCAGTGAGTTCATGTCACTGGTGAAAGTCTTGATCAAAAATCTGTATTTTGATTACATCACCATGCACCAGCAGGTGAAGAGAAATAATAGCAAATATCATCCCCATCCCCACCCCCAACACCCCCTCTCATCATTGAGTGAAACGTTCAGCTAGCTCCTGTGTTTCACTTGGAAATACATCATGGTACAGAGGAAAATGTGTTTTGATACCCAATCTGTTGACTTTAACCTAACCTTTAAAAAACTTTGTTCATTGATCAGCTACACAGCCTGTCAGGTTTGTAAATGACTTGGACACGTTTCACCTCCACAACTCTCATAAATCTCAACATCTGTTTAGTCTATTCACCTAATCAATTTAATCTCAGTAACAGCCTCTCATGCTCTAACCCCTCCTTCCCTTAGCTTCCATTGGAATAGCTGTGGCACTGGGCTTGGCCATCCTAATCGTGCTGGCTGTGATTGGTTACTACTTCCTGAAGAGCAAGAAGCAGACGCAGCCGAGGCACCAACGTGTTGCCGTCAACGGTGCACATTCGTTTCCTGTGGAGGACACAGAGAAACTCGTCTACAACAGCACCACCAAACCCATTTGATTCCCACCCACTCCCCACCACCACATTCTTTACTGTCAACCAGTGCTGCCCATTCCCAGTGCTGGGAACTCACTGTCCTAAACGGTTTGGGATTCTCCTTGCCCTAACGCCACCGATTCAACTCTTCAACTAATTACCACGGCCCTCAGTAGCTGAGGTTAAAGTAGAGTACATTTGAAGCCATGGAAGACAGTGGGCCACCAGAACTGAGACTGAGGACTCAGCACATAGACCAAATGCTTATGAAAGCTTGTGAATGCTTTTTTATAGGTAATTTTATTTGTTTGACAGTCCTCTTGGATGGATTAAGATGTTTTGTTTTGAATAGGCATGGGGCAACTGACCTATCCATGCTCTGCCCATATATGATCTTTCATAGCAACTGTTGCCAGGTTAAAAAAAAAAAATCAAAGATCATGCTTAATGTAATGAGAAACTATAGTGCACTCTGTTTAGAGGTACTACAGTTATAATCTTGAATTTTCAGTTTAAAATGTTATGCTACCAGTCTGGTGTATATTGTATGTATGCTGTAGTTAGATTGGAAACTATCCCACAAATACAGGTATTGGGTTCTTTTACTACACTCTTAACAAAAAGGGTTCTGTATAGTAGTGAAAATGGGTTCTTTAACAACAGTGAAACCCTTTTTGGAGCTATATAGAACCATTTTTAAAGAACAATGTACAAGTTTTGCATCACAAAGAAGAACCATTTGACCACACAAAGAACCATTTCTACATGCAAATGGTTCTTTGAGTCTTTATGGTTCTATATAGAACCATAGCCTTTACTAGAAGAAGCATTTTAAGGAGTGTACAGTTTCTTATTAGGTTGAAAGGGATTTTTGTACATTCTGTAAACTTGTCCAACCTTGCCATGAAGGAACACCTTTGTGGGCGGAGTATGTGTAGATCAGTGACAGCCTATATTAACCATTTTAGCCAAGTTTATTTGCTGTCTGTACATTGGATCTCATGTCTTCATGTTTTCATGGTTGTTGTTTTTTACATGTACCACTTCTTGTCTGGTTGTTATTCACCAACTCTGTGCTCAGGGTGAAAAATCTAGTGATCTAAATGGTCAGTTCTGTTTTGTCATGAGAGTCAGTTTGTCAGGCACAGACTGAGACTGTTCATGAATTTAACGTCATGAAAGCTGCTGGAAATGGTTTGATTTGATTGGATTTGGCTTTGCCTGGACCTGACAAGCTGTTCCTCAGTATTTTTGGGAGAAAGCTGAATTTAAATTTGTTATTGATTAGCCTTCAATATTTTAGTTTCATTATTTCTGAGTTTTTGTCCTGATAGATGTACACATACCTCCTGTTCTGTCTTAAAAAAAGACGTTCTTCAAGGAGTTATTTTTAGTAGAGGGAATGGTTCTATTTAGAACCACGAGTTCTGTATGGAGTCATTTCATGATTAAATGGTTCTGTGCATGGTGAAATTGTTCTTCAGATTGATGGAGAATGTTATATATGGTTCTATATAGAACCTTTTTGAAAATGTTCTGTATAACACCAAAAAGGGTTCTGCTATTGTTACAATCAAGCTTGTAACAATAGAAGAACCCTTTTTGATGCTGTATAGAACCGATACAACACATTCTCCATCAATCTGAAAAACCATTTCACCATGCAAAGATCCATAAACATTAAATTTTTCCATATAAATAGAACCATTCTCTTTACTAAAGAACTCTTGAAGAACCATCTTTTTAAGAGTATATGTATAACTTAATGTAAGAAACAAGATTGTTGAGCAGCATTAAAAGAAGTTGTTTTCTTAGTTGAACTGTGCATACTAAATGATGGAATTCTGAGGCAAAATCACATGTGAAATAACTTCTTCCACACTCCTGTTTGTACATAGATTATATATGTGTTTCTTAGATGTTTGTTAAGTCTATTAATTTGTTTTTAAAGCTTCAATAAAATATAGAATGTACTGTCGTTTCGTTTTACTAAATATGAACCCAGAAAGCCTCTGAATTGGAAAATGAGCTTTCACTCTTTAGCTTTGAAAGCACATGAGGATTTTTTGGGAACATCTAAAGTGGAATTCCACCAATTTCTCAAAGTTTTGCAGAAATTAATTCTGTGAGGTTTGATGTGTCCATTCTAGAGAAACGTACTGAGGTGGTGATAGGAACCAGAAGTGTTTAATACCTGTAAGAGCTACCTCAAAAAAAGTTATCACATACAGTGATTATAAACACATTACCTGATGTCTGAGACTTTGACAATAGTTTTGATAGCAGGTTTTTGACGTTTTCTGAAACATATTTTTCAAATGTATTTGTGGTGGAGAGGAACATGGAGGGTTTTGTAAGGCAAAATAACACAAAAACATATTTGTTCAGATTTACCACTATACTAATATTATGAACATTACATATACAATCTCCAGATTCGTGTAGATTCACTAGTCACATTAGTTAGTTAATAAAGTAGCTTTTTTTGCATTGTGGACATTATGACCCCTGGTTGCTATCATCACCACTGTAAAGAAATCTGAGTCGGTACTTTTCTGTAGAAGGCACAATTTCACACCAAACATCTCTGGCTTTATTTACATATGAACTACTGTAATAATGCAGAACTTTTGAAACATGGGTGGAGTTCCCCTTTAAATGGAATTTGTGCTTCCCCAGTTTCACCAATAGAGGGAGACGTTGGTCAATTTTTACATGAAGGCGAGTCCGAGCTTTGCCAGTGAGAGCGAGAAAACCGAACTAACGTTAACGCTCTGGAACAGGATGGGAAATCAGTTATCTTGTGTTAATGCATATGAAACTGGAGTCTGAAGTTTTCGGTATTTCGGTTTTCACAATAAATAAGCTATACTGATGCGTAAGGAGCGCAAGAACTGAAAGAACTGTTACTCTGTCCATTTTAACGCCATTTTCGTAATTCACTACATAAATGTGTGAATAATGTTTTTTAGCTGTCTCGAATACCGTTTATACCTCATTTTAAGCAAATACGTGATTTATCCCGAAAAAGCTCTACATAACAGCAACGAAACGATCAAAACATCCGTTTTCTTTCTTGTGCAGTAGAGTAAATCAGCTGGCTCTCTTTGCCCAAACTCCACAGGCATAAAACTTGAGGGCGTCGTGGGTGCACGGGTCTTGCGCAGAAGTCACTGATCTTCAAATCATCGTCATCACGAAAGTCCGCGCGCGCATGACATATAAATCGCTGGTTCTGCGCAGCCGCGGCGCCATGCAACCCTGCGGTGACGCGGAGCGCTGGGCGGAGCGAAACTCGGAGCTGCACTAATTACACAGAGTAAAGTTGGGTTCCATGTGGAGATGTAGCGTCTGCAGAGCTGAATGAAACCGAGGACCTAAAGCAAGCGACAAACAAATGTTTTCAAAGTGCGAGTGCTGAGATAAACTCCCTCTTCTCTGCGAGGAACCAGAGCTGCTGCGGGTGAGTTTTATCCGTCTTAAGAAAGATGAACCGTTGCTACATCTCTTCTCATGCCTGACATATGTTTCTGATAACTTAAGTTACCTCTGGAGTTTTGATGGACAGAAGTGCTGACAGAGCCGTAGTGATTCCGAATTATTGTTCTGAAATGAAAGCCTTTAACATCTTTACATATCTAGACGACGCTTTTCACCACTGCTGCCTTTGCAGTGCTGTGTGTCGAAGTAGTTTGATTTCTCACAGAGCCATTATGTTCCGCTTACAGTGCCTTGCAAAAGTATTTATCACCCTCAATACCCAAGTGGCACTGTGATAATTTGTGCTGTCATTTTATTTTAAAAGACTGACTCTCAAAATCATTTAGTTTAAAATGATATTTATTTTATGTAAGAAATATTCTCAGACAAATGACTAACTGAAAGATGCTGTTTGCATAAATATTCAACCGCTGTGCTGAGGAAGCTCCAAGCCCTAACGGGAACACAGCCGGCTTACAATTGGCCTTTACCTGTGGATGATTTAAAAAGTCTCAGTAACAGATCCCCTTACTTCAGGTACCATGGGTCAGACAATCGGAAGGAAAGGTGTGAAAATGAAGACCAAAGAGCGTTCTAAGGCAGTCTGAGATAAAGGTATAGACATACACAAGATAGGAAAAGGCCACAAAATAATATCCAAATGTTTAGAAATCCCAGAAAGCGTTGTTGGATTGATTGTCAGGAAGTGGAAACTGCATCATACCACCCAAGCACTGCCTCGACAAGGCTAACAATCACTCTGAAGGAGCTATAGAGTTCAGTAGCTGAGACTGGAGTGAAGGTGCACTGGTCAAAGATATCAAAAGCTCTTTATACAACTGGCCTGTATGAGAAGGTGGCTAGAAAGAAGCCATTACTGAAGAAAGACCACATCAAGGCACATCAGGCCATAGCTAAAATGTGGGAGGTTTTGGTCAGATGAGACAAAAATGGAGCTGTTTGGCCAAAACTCAAAATGCAGTATGGGGCACAAACCTAACACTGCTTATTCCTCAACAAACACCATCCCAACAGTGAAGTATGGAGGTGGCAGCATCGTGTGTGGAGATGATTTTCGTCAGCGGGGTTTGGACATCCTGTTGAAGTTGAAGGATGGATGGTTTGTACAAAATACAGGGAGGTGATACTGCAAGATCACCTGCTTCAGTCTGCTAAAGAACTAAAGCTTGGGAGAAACATCACCTTTCAGCCTGACTATGATCCCAGGCTCAAGGCCAAAGCAACACAGCAGTGGTTGAGCAAGAAAAAGGGGAATGTTCTCCAGTGGCCAAGTGAAATCCAATTGACAATCTGTGACAATATTTAAAATTACAGTCCACAAGCATCATCCAATCAACCTGAACAGCCTAGAGGAAATCTTCCTGGAAGAATGGGTGAAAATCACTCTCAAACAGTGTGCAAAGCTGGTAGAAACTTACCCCAACAGACTCAAATCTCTTATTGCAGCAAAAGGTGGTTCTACCAAGTACTAGTCTGAAGGGGTTGAATAATTATGCAAGCAGCAAAATTTCAGTTCTTAAACTGCTGACAAATAATGAGTTTCAACTTTGAAAATTGACTTTAAGAGCATATTGGTTTGCAAACAAATTAACTGGAACAATCTGTGTGTCATTCGTAGTTGAGACGCTAGATGTGACCTATGTGGATTTGCTTGTTGTTTTCTCAATATTTTATGGTTTGTTTTTAATGTTTTCTTGCTGTCTCTAACGGCTCCGAGATAAAGATGGTATGTAGGCTGCCATGCAGAGTAGATGCTCCACCTTTCTCATCCAAGGAGAGATGTACAGTGAGATTGTGCCTTTCATACTCCATAAAAGTCTGAGGGATGTTGAGATAAGCTTGGAAGATGCACGGTGACCTACAAAACTCTTGCCTGTTGAGAGCTGCCCTTGTGTGAGGGTGTTTTTCTTTGTTGTGTGAATTTGGAGTGTCTAAAAAAAGTATGTAGTCTTCATGTTTAGGGAAAAGCATGAATGCT